GGTTCCTCACCGATGGAATGCCTAGTCGTGATTGAGTGTCATCGATGGTTCGTCCCATCGTGCAACCATACACACATGTTGATACGAGAGAAGATGGATTAGGAACAAAAGAAGATGAGAGAAGATACGTAATCTCTCAGGTTCACGGGAGATAAGAGAAGATTTATAATCTCTCTATAATATCACATATCCTCATCTCTTCTTATTTGTATAGTCTTTACGAAATCTATTTTTTTATTGATAAGAATAAAGGGTTTAGGATAAGTATCCCGGGTGTCGCCCAGTAGACATGACCCTTTGCATAGCGGAAGCTGTGATTAGGTTTTAACGTCAACACTAATATGGTTCTGTAGTAAGGTTTCTTGCATGCAAAGATAGACATTCTGAAAACTATCCAGCTGACTTATTATGGTAGCTTTTAACCCTTTAGATCACACGATGGTACTACTGTAGGTTTGCTACGACTTTAGTCGAGTAAATAGCAATGTGTCTGACCCCAAACAAGTCATCGTCACGTACCTTAGCATGCTACTGTCATCCATGCACTGATTGTTTCCTTGGTGTATGGTGTTTCTCATGCCATATCCTCTACACTTTTCTATGTAAAAATTATAATGTCTCAAATTAATTTTAGAGTGTAGCCTACTACAAGATGTATGACCAACGACAAGGTCGATCCCAACCACATGTACATGACCTATATGCTCGCATGGAGCTCCATCGTATTTTTCCCTCGGAGTCATCTTATACCATAAGCACATAATCATATACATGATCATAGTGTGCATGCGATAGATTCAGTGTACTTTATGTACATATCTTATATTCATCTTATACCATAAGATGACATATTTAGTCATAAGATATGTACACACTTTACGTACACATCTTATATCGTATGCACACTATCTTATATTCATCTTGCACTATGTACATAATGTATTTTTCCCTCGAGTTATCTTATTCCATAAGCACTTAATCTTTGACCTATAGCTTATACTCGATGCATGATTGATAAATAGATGACTAACCTACTTAGGTTGAATACGAGATCTTTGCGTAATTGTATCCCACACAATAGGAGTTTTGGGTCCATCGTATAGCAAGTAGCACCCATTGGATAGAATCCCCTATATTATCCTCCTTATATGATCTACTTTTTTATGGTTGTGTGCCTAATTGATTGAATTGATGATACGATGACGTGTTATAAAATGATGTATGATTCCAATATAATAAAAGGATCTAAATGATCCTTATCAACTAAAGAAGGGCCAATATACTAGAGGATGATTCCATTCGGAGATTAGTGGTTTTTCAAATATGACAGTTGGATCGTTTCTTCATACGAAGAAATATGTCTTCATACGAAGAAATATACTATAAGTATAATATGAGTTCTCTATATTTATTATTGGGGCATGAACTCATCCTATTAGAGTAATGCTTCTTTGTTTACTATGCACCATTAGGTGTTTGACTATGCCAAGATGATGATAATGATATACATGAATAATTAGATTTTAAACATATTATGTTGCATTTAAGCGATTGAGAAAAATAGCCCAAAAACACAGATAATTTCTGATAAAGTATGTCACATAAGCATAACATGTGACATAGTATCGCATGTGGCAAGGAATCCTCATTTCGAACATGATAGGGGGTGTAAGATGGAGTAGAGCTGTCTTGTCAGCTGTCCTGTATTGGCAATTTGCCTTCAACACCAAGCAAAGGTTTCAAGCTTTTGCCATGTTATCTTTCAACATGTACATGAATTGTGCATCATCTCATTGCTTCCAAGCAGGCCAGTGATCATAGTTTGCACTTGTTCTGACATCCATTTACTTGAAAGCTGCTTTAAGTCTACATGCTGATGGTCTGAAGTCTGAGTTATGTTCTCCTGTGGACAATTCTTTTTGTCCTGTTGATTATAGTTTTCCTTTCTGTCCCTATTTTTCTTTGCATAGAGGATTCATTACTTGTATGTTCTTAATCAATATGTCCCATAAAGAAGAACATGATGCCTTTTATTGACATGTAGATTACTGATGATGTTTAGGCATGTTTTTGCAGGCTGTCAGATCTAAGCCAGCTGAGGAATCCAACATTTGTGCTGCTGGGCTGCCATGAAATAATAGTCCTTTTGTGATTGCTTTAATTCTTCAACTTGTGTTCTTCCACTAGTCTGGCAATTGTGTCAGTGACAAATGGTGAACATAGAGAAAAGCATGTCTACATACAAACATAGCCTCTCCTGTTGACCATAAAATTGCATTTTTAAGTTTATGTTGCATCAATGTGACCTAATACAACTTGAGTTCAAAATAAACTTTTGAGCAGCTCAATTGTGATATCAAGATCAAGTCCACAAATATGGGGTCAAGGGTATCAGATCCTGCCAAACCTTTGTGCCAGGGCCCATAGCTGTTCTTTTGGAGTTGATTATGTTGTCAAGTGGTTTGACTTTGATTAAGCTTCAGCTGAAGGCTGAGAACCTGATTTGTTCTTCAGATTGACCTAATTCCTGGATGGAAACAATTCTTTCCATTAACCTCTAGCTCACAGCAATCTTTCAAGTAGTTGAGTGTTTACACAAAAGGAATGTCTAAGCATCATAATAAGTTCCATTATTTGTTGCACTTTGGTGTCAGCTGAACAACCTTGTGCCTTAATGCTTTTGGTCAAAAGTAGAAAAATCTGGAATGAGGGAAGGTTTAGCATTAATGTCAGACCATGATTATTTTGTTTCTTTTATGATTCATTTTTTAGTCTCAAGCAATCACAGAAAAAAGGAAGAACAAACTAATTTATCTGACATTTAGAAATAAATGATCCATTAATTGACATTTTACATATGGTGCTCCCTAAGTTCATCATTCAGCAGGTTACAGGTGCTGTGAGGTAACAAAGAGAAACAACATAGAAATTTACATGTTTGAAACCATTTACTACTGCATGAACCCAAACATAATGGAATCAATTTCAAAGGTTGACAAGCTAATCTTCATCTATTATGTGTTCTTGCAGTTGTCTTTCATTCCAAATCTTCGTCATTTTCATGTATGAGAATGTGGATGGAATTTAGTGATGTAGAAATGAAGTTGATTTATCAACCAGAACAGTGAATGGTACTGTTGTCTGTGGTCCAACTATTTTAATCATGTAGTCAGATTATGACAAATTAAACCAAAAAAATTAGTGTTGCTCCTAATGAGAGATCTGGAAAAGTTTAATGGATGCTGTGTTTACCTTTTCAAGTAGTTGATAACAAGTTTCAAAGCTTTCCGCATTCCAAAAGTCCAGCTCTTGCACTTGAAATCTTTGTGGTGGTAGCTGCAAGCCTGCAATAATGGAGCTTCAAAGTGCACAAAGTACCACTACTTACTGAAATGAATGCATTATGGAGCACCGAAATCATGAGTCCTGTCCGAAATCATGAGTCTTGTCTCGGTCAAAGAAACCCAGACAAGGAGACGAGAAAGGGAGAGGGTTGTGGACAGGCGTTGCTACTACTGTCTCAGAGAATGAAGGCCTGAAGGGTCCATCTCAACAAAAAGCCATTATCTGAAACATGGCACAGTTGGTTCTTGTGTTGCATTTAATCGAAGAAAGCAAATAATATTGGTGTAGTGAGAACATTTCATGTTTGCCTAATTTTTAATGGTGATGTCTTTGTACTCTTCCAAACCGTAGTATAACTGTGCTGAGAAATACTACATTTCAAGGATAATCCATATCCTCTAGTGAGAAGTTTTCAGGGACTTGAGTCGCTTGATCCAAAGGCATCAGATTGAGTACTGAATGTAAGATGTGGAGCCAACCAGAAGTGTATCTAAGCATGGTCTGAATTATATTCTTCAAAAGATGACAAATGGCACCTGACTGTATTCTGCCAACAGGACATGTATGACAAAAGGAGGGTCCAGAAAGATCACCAGCTTGCTTGTAGTTCAACAAAGCAACTTTCATATGCTTAAGATATTTTAATCCTGATATCTAGATAGCTAAATTAGTGGAAGTCAGAAGAAGAGGTAGGCACCTTAGGTCATCATCTCCTCTTGGCTTTTGTTTGAATAACAAGAGATAGGGCTGTGTGAGAAATCCGACACTCCACATGGCCTCTTAATGGCACGTAGTGGGCATGTGGACCAAATGAAGGGGGATCTTGACACTGGGGAGGACTGCTTTGAAGGAAGAGAAACTTAGATAACCCATTCTTTACATGTATGCATCAGTCCAAAAACCTAGTATTTTAAGAGTGTCATACCTTCGAACTTCTTATGGGGTTCCCCTGCAAACATCCAAACTGTCTGGTGAGTAGTCCCTGTTCTGATACACAGTACGATAGGGTTAGCGTATTCACATACCACCACACAACCACCACCAGGTTTATGGCACTTAGATAAGGTGGTGGTGGTACTGTTTAATATATATGGCAGAAGGGTGTGCTGAAAAGAAGAAGAAGAATAATAATAATAATAATGGTGGCCGTCCAAAGTACTTGTTTAAAGTTATTTGTCTGATGCACATAAGCTAACTCTTTCAGAAACGAACATGGAAGCATGTTTATGTGTAGAACTATGGCGACTAAACAAATGAAGATGCTTTGGATACACTAATGAAATCCAGGTGCAAGTGGTGCAGTAATCAATAGACCCTACTTTTGGACATTGACTGTGATCACTGATTTCATGCCACAATCACCTAAAGCAGATGCAATGCACACACAAAACTAGGTGGGTTACCTTGGAACATTTTCTTCAACAGCATCAGAATGAAAGCTTCATGAACTGAAAACCACATCTTTAAGCAATACTATATTAGTGAAACACAAAGACGGCAGCAACTGCTGCTGACCGTTACCTGACTCTTCCCTGAGCCAGCACCAAAAAGATAAGCCATCTTCAGGTAGCAATGAGCAACCATCGCAGAAAGGTGGTAGCTTTGGTTCCCCAGGTCTCACTCCATGAGCTGGTGAGATGAACAAAGCAACGAGAGGTTACTTCTCTATCAGTGATTCAGCCTCTTACCTTCTTGTTGGTAATGTGGCCCCTCACATCCCCCGGACCACGCTCATGACATGAAGAATCTCAGGCTCATCGGTGGTGTTGGTGTTGCAGTAGCTGCTGCATGCAATAGATGATGACGTCTCCCTCATCCACATCCATGGCCTGCAACGTAGACCACGCCTGCCATATGCTATTTCCCAACCCACCACTCATCGACATCATGCCACGTGGAAGATAGCCCATCAACCGAGGAAGTGTGCTCCCATTGGCTCCTCTCTCTATCTCTATCCCTGCATTATATTAACACACAAAGTGCAGGATACATTATGGTATAATATCAGTGTTTGAGAGCCTTACCTCCCTTCCATCACGTTAAATAAGGCCAAACGCAAAATGGCAGCAGCTGCAGTTGGTTGAATGCTGCTTTCTTCTCTTCGACACTCCTTCCCTCTCCCACTGCTGTATATATATTAGTCATCATACACCAAACAGTATCAGAGAAAGAAAATAGGTAGGGAGAGGAGGATGGGAAACTGCCAGGCATCGGAGGTGGCGACCGTGGTGATCCAACACCCTGGGGGGAGGGTGGAGAGGCTGTACTGGCCGACGAGTGCTGCCGATGTCATGAAGACCAACCCAGGCTACCATGTTGCCCTTGTCAGCCTCTACGTCTCCGAGGAGAAGCAGGATGGCAGCAGCGTCCGGTTTACCCGCGTAAAGCTGCTCAAGCCCAAGGATATGCTCTTGCTCGGCCAAGTCTACCGGCTGATCACCTCCCAGGGTCCGAATCTGTTCTTCCTTCTGCAAGTCCATCTCAGACTAGTAATTCCTGATCACTTTGTTTAGATTTTCTGATGCTGGCTAACGTCGAGCTTTTCGTGGACATTTCTGTTCAGAAGTTACAAAAGCTCTGAGGCAAAGAAAATATGAGAAGATAAGGAAGAGCCAGGCTGAACTGATTAGAAAACAGCAACAAGAGCATAGAACAAAAGATCAGGATGGTGAGGCAAACCTGGAGGATTCAAGAAGTAGACATCAGGTACATTCTACTGTATTTGCTGCAAGTCATCCTTCAAACGGCTAGCGATCCATGAACATCATACTACATGAACTGCTATGGATTTTACTGTCAATCAAACAGCATTTTTTGTAATAATATATTGAACAGAAAAATACCACACAAAAGTTCTAGTCACCTGAACAGCTAAAACCCAAGGCACCCATTTACTACCTGCTGTTTGACAATTGTAAGAATGCTATAAAGTCACTTCATAATAATCTGAATAAAACGCAGGAGATTTAAGGGACTTTTACTGTCAGTCAGCTGTTTGGATGTGTTCTCACTGCTCTGTGTTTATGAGATGATACAGGCAACAAAGCAGGGGAGTGATAGACAAAAAAGCAGCATACAGATGGCAGTGAGAGGCAGGCAATGGCGTCCTTCGCTTCAGAGCATCTCAGAGATGGGAAGCTAATTGTGCAATTCTCTTACCCTGTTGTCACAACAAAAAGACAAGTCATCTCAGGCATGAGATGAGGTTCATGTGGTTAGTGTGATATTGGTTATGGATGCAAATCATGAAAAATTGAGGGTACTACCATAAGGAAAAACTTAAAAGAGTCTCCTTGTAGAGGAAGTATACATTTGAATAACAGTCCATCGTGTAATCAACAAGAGTCAGAAACAAAGATACATATCATCATGATCTAGAGCTTATGGAACAAGAAATTGCAAAGTTACTGATACTAGCTTTCCTTACTGATTCAGGATTTCAATTTAGTTGAATTTGAAGCAAACAGTCACATGAGTAAAAAAGACAGGAAAGACAGAGTTTTGGCAAGTGAAACATCTTAGAAAACATCTATGTATATTTACTCTATATATAACCTGAAACTAGTCATATTTTACAGTGAAGCTATCACTCTGTTGTCAGAAGACCTAATAAATTATATGAATGAACAATGGTCACTGAGACTGTTGGGAAGTCTAGATCTCCCTGCCCTGACCTACATAGCTTTGTGCCCACAGAAGAGCCACACTTGCTGCTATAGGAGCTCCGGGAAGTCTCTTCTCCTTTAGTTGAAGGAACATTTCCCACCAACAGTGTCCCAGGACCACTGTACTCCTTGTGACATAAGTTGTTGAATATCTAGATTACAATGCACCATAAAAACATTGTTATAAGTTTGATAATGAGGTAGATTTGCTATCTCCTTAAACAATCTTACATTGCAAAGGCAAGGACATATCAGTTGTGTACTAGATAAAGAATGAATAATGAGCATCTAAATCTTATTAAGGACATAAAATGATTCAAACCCTTTTCATGATAATTTAGCTTCACATCATATGCTCCTTATAGTTCCACTATAACGTTTCTGAAAATTTAGAAGAATAAGAAAAAGGAATAGGTTAGCATGGAGATTAGCATGTCTTGATCCTAAACATGGATGATTAGCATGGAGAGCAGCCAAAGTTATAAGTGAAGATAAAGAAAAGCTTGTTACAATCTATGATCCTACTATTTTCGATGAATATAACATAAGTTGGAACAACAAATTATATAACGGAGTAGCTAAGTTCCTAAATTATATAAAAAGAACTGATTTTTGACTAATTTATAACATTTCAAGACTGCCATTGTCACAGTTCATCTAAACAAACCTTTTCTTGATCGAAAGAATTGCTAACCCAACCTTGCTATCATTTTCACTTTCAATTCCCCAGGTTGGATCAGTACTCTTAACCAGCCAATCAACAGACGAGAAATTGTTACGAGCTATCGTACCTTGATAACAAGGAGATCGACCAACCAATGCCCTCGTAGCCAAATGCACAAAATTAAAGACGGCGTCGACGTCGTCGCCGACTATCTCCTTACTCTTGGCAAGCGTCTTCCGGAACTCGCCCTCGAATTTCCGCGTCTCCTGCAAAGGTTAATATCCAGAAACATGAACAATCACAAGCAATACCAAACCAAACAGAGATCAAGACGGAAGAGAAATGATTACGGCTGTAGCGAATTGAGGGAGGGGGTCGGGGTAGGCGTAGACCGGATGCTGCCATTGGCCCGGGGAGATGGGGACCGGAGGAGGAAGGAGACGCATCAGTGCGGTTCCTAATTGTGACACCGGAGAAGGTACGAAGGCTTGTTGGGAGTTACCGCTGTGCTAACTCGGGCGGGTTGGGTCAACTCGTGCATAAACCCGAGCCCGATCCGAGCTACAAAATACTCATACGAAAGAAATTAGATTTATAGATGGAATCAAATATATAATATTTATAAAAACTATTTAATTATAAGGAATAATCAATATACTTTTAATATCAAATAAAGGATAAAAATAAAGTATTCGATTGAACTCTTTTTTTTTTTTTTTTTGGTGTGAAGGTAATAATAGCTTTAAATAGGTGTCAAATGTGTCCGATATAATCATTATATTTTAACAAGGTCATTCTATTCCACCTGTTTTAAGACAAAAACTTAAAATAAAATAATTAATGACACGACTATATATTCGAACCAAGCTCAATCCGAGTCTTAAATTTAAATCAAAATTTATATAATTAAATTTAAATTAGAAATTAAGATTTGCGATCGAATTCAAATTATATAAGAATTAGATCATTACTAAAAAAATAAATATATAATACAATACAATAAATAGATTGTTAGACTTTTTTGATTGGATCTATAGTTGTAATGCAAGAATCAATTTATCTCTATTGAGACATTCGAGTTGGTTAGTGTATTATTATACAAAATAATAGTTTTTAGATTCAAGTATACGTGTAAGCGTCATATATACCATTTAATGTAATAAAAATATTTTTTAATAAAAAAAAAAACAAGGTAGAATGGGTTAGTATCTCATTCTTTTACTTGTGCTAGTGCTAGCATCTCTCATGAAGCAAATTTATGGACTAGTATACAATCACATGAGACAGTTACTTAATGACCATAGTTCAATTCAAATAGTAATTGAATTGGTCTAAGAGGAACTGAAACCAGAATCAATAGTTTCAACTCGATTAAATATAAAAATAAAATAAAATAATATAGTGGTTGATATTTTATATTTAAAGCCTAATGACTTGAGATCAAATATTAATAGAATAATTTATTTTTTTGCCGATCGAAACTCGATTAATTAAATTGGAATTGGAACCGCTTGGAACGATTGCGGTTCCTAATATAATAGAACCGAAACCGACGATTTGGGAACCATAATCACCACTAGTTTTGACACTATGTATATTGTGATTCAATCTCTCCATTGCTTTATCACAAAGATTTTTAGCCCAATACAGGCCCAGGGAGTCATCACAAATCAGTATGATTCATGTAAAGTCAGAATCAGCAACTCTTTCCTGTGTTGATGATTGCCAGTTCAGTGGCATTGTGATGGATGCCACAGCTTGTTGTGCCATCTTTCTTGATGGCTGTCAAGTTAATGCATGTGATGCTAATTGAGTGCTGTGTGGAGACTAAAACCCATTGCAAGTCAATCTATCAATCCTACTGTCCTCCTCCCTGCCAGCACTGCGTGCAGGTTGCCACTGTTTGCAGAGTGACTCATTGTGGAATCATATGACTCCACACTAAGCTGCTGCTGCTTCAATCATGGAGCCAAGGAATGCATTAAAGTTTGCAGTCAGAGATGACAGCCTGATGCTAGCATGGTGTGCAGGTTGCCATTGTTTTCAGGGTTGCTCATTGCAGAATCATATGTCTTCATACTTATAGCTGCTACTGCTTCAAACAAGATCCAAAGAATGCGTGAAACTTGCAGTCAGAGATGACAGAGCATGAGATCAGCATGCATCAGGCAGCTCTCAATACAGTTCTATCGATCCAAGGATATAAATAGCAAGACACAATTATTGAGTACATGGATGAGAAACTTGATAAAATTCGTGAGGACATATTATGCTATCATAAGACTGTTAATCCATTTTCTTATCAAACTTTATGTTATAATATATCAGATCCAATTAGTATTTCCGGTTGGATTCGACGAGTTTCAGGGAGTCCATGTATGTAAAGAATTCTGTATTAAGTAAAAAAATTCTTAGAAATTACAAGTGCTTGAAAAATAGGTTATGATTTAATCTAGAGAGGTTGATAAATAGGATAAAAAAATAACTCCATCAATTTTGATAGGGAGTGCTGAATCTCATTAATCTTATATCCGTTTTTCTAACTTGTGTTTGATTGTTAATCCCTTTTGCTACTGATTGTGATTCTTCTGCTCAGGAAGTTTTATGATCTCTCATTGTCAGGGCAAGCTAGAAAGCTGCTAATGTTTGCATCAAGAAACAAATCATTAGCTTTTTTTTTTATCATAAAGAAGAATCATCTTTTTGATCTACTATTTTCCTGTAGAAATCTTGATCCAGGCTACTTTACATGGCCTTTTACCATCATTTGGAATATCTGCTTTGTGGGAACAAAGTCCACATGATGCAATTGCTTTTCTTTTGGAGTCCCCCCCCCCCCCTTCCCCTTCCTTTGCTAACAATGAAGTTATATGTGTCATCTACCACTTCTCTGAACCTTGTCATTCCCCACAGCCATCAAAGTGTCTTCTTCATTTGCATACCATGATGGCAGGAAAGAAAAGGAGGAAAAGTAGAAAGGGAGTAGCAGATCATGGCACAAGTAGATGATGGCTCCTGATGATTAAACACAGGACCTTGCCTTCTTCATTCTTTCTAATGCAGAAGTAAGCTGACAATATGGCATCTCTGTAAACTTTATTTTCTGCACTGTGAAGCCCAAAAAGAACATGTAGATTTTGGTCATGGGTTTGTGAAAAGGAGTCACTGGCAAAATTATGCATATGATAAATCTAAGTTTAGTTTGGTAATTTAATTATCTAGAGTTTAAAATATTTAGGAATTTTTAATATTCAAGTTTCAGAAATGATTGTCAACTCCGCATAACTTAATCTATTTTTTAAATATTATCGCGTCTAAAATCGGAAGTCCCTTAGAAACATCTAGAAATAGACTCTTCATAAACCAAAGGATCCTATAAAACTATAAAGAGAGCATATCCCATGTAACTCTTTGATGCTTAAGTCAGTAAAGAATTTAAGAATGAGTTTAGTTCGAAGAATTCAAGGGTGAATGCATTCATAAGAAAACACTTGAGAGTGATCAGTCATCTTCCCCTTTGCTGAATAGTGCTTGCAGATTCAAAACTTTTGCTGCCTCCAATCACATGGAGGGATCACCATATATCTACATAACTTGTGTCAAAATGCTGACTTTTGTGGCTCCATTATATAAGGTCCTGTAGCAACACCATGAGGTAGATAGTTCCTGCACCAAAAGAGAAGGAATAAAAGGTGAAGCTCTCTTTATAAAATTATGACCACCTTTGGCTAAGAATCCTTTGGGAAAGAAAGGTGGTAAGGGTGTGGGTGGTAAAGAGTCTTTGGCTTTTAGGCTTATTCATGGGATTCCTTGCATGGACAAAAGAGAGTGCTAAAAAGCAGGGGAAGATGGAAAGCAAGCCCTGGTGCACCCCAGGTGGGAGATGGAGAAAAGAACTGCATCTGCAGATCTTTCTCTCACTTGAAAACATGCCATGCATGTGTGAGTTTGTCCACCATAGCACATTCAGCTTTGAAACAAGAGAAGCTTCCACATTTTCCAGTTTTAACTGCTGGAATTTATCATGAATTTTGTTAGGAGGGAGTTTGTTCATGATGTTCTTAAACAGAACCACCTATTTGGTGAGGGAGAAGACCTCAATAAAAAGTCTAGAAAATCAACAAAATAAAAAAAATCAATATAAAATCTATACACACTCCTTAAATATTGATGTCCACAAAGAAAACAAGATTATTTACTATGCTAAGTCAGTCCTAATTCAATGGCATATATCTGCTTGCACAATTGTAATTACATACAGAATTGAACTCATAGATTGATTTCTTTCTAGTAATTGGATCATCATCATTATCCTCTTGACTACTTTATGGTTATCTATTTTCAGGGTAATTCCTCCAATTTCTCTACTTTTTAGCTTGCTTGAGGCACCACTACAACTTTCCAGTAAATTTCAGGCATATGTCATAACATTGAATTCTTTTACATTTACTAAATTGAATTCTTGATGATGAGAGGAGTCTGTAGGCTCAGACATTATTATAGTGCATGATTTTTTTCCTGACTTCTAAGCATGAAAAGACTTTGATCTTCACCTACCTTCCCACTATAAAGTGAAAATACTTGTGTATGATGGTGTGCCCCCATTGTTATCAAAATGAATCCAAAATCGACACTTTGTGCTATCTAATATATAGCAACGCATGAAATGTATGCTGCTCTTCTGCCAAAGTTCATGCAGGAATTATGAGTGACATTGATGGAGGCTTATGGCATTTAGTAATGCTCCTCAATATGAAACAAATAATTCATATGCTACAACTTTTGTAATTTTTTTGGGGCCTTTTCTAACAATTTAAGCTGAATAGTAGCTAAAAGTTGTAATGAAATGTAAAATCCTATGTCTGATTCTTAATTAAATCACAACACAACTATTAGCTAATTAAGATTTTGGATGATTGACAAGAGAAGATTTAACATGGTGCTGAAGAAGACCATGTGTTTGAATTCTGCTTCTCTTTTGTTCATTCTATTTCCTTCAATAGATTTACATTAGTCCTTCAACATACTTGGGGATGCTAGTGATTGGGAATATTCTAGTACCGCCCACTCGACAACGGCTGGTAGCCACCTCGGAGTCGGCACCTCAGAGCCGACATGGCGCCTCGAAGCCGACGAGGCGCATGCATGTGATACGAGCTTGAGATGACGTGGCAGGCTTGATAATGACGTGTAGCCATGCCTATGCCGCCCGGGGTCGTACAAGACAGCATCGCTCGGCACGAAGCCGTGCGGGCCGACCCACGCCGTCCAAAGCGTGCGAGCTGGTTGCCCGGAGCATAGGCGGCCATTAACGACCTACATACGGCCGATGCCCAGCGACAGGTATAAGTAATGATCCCCTAGTTAGCATAAGGGGTAGAGAGAAAAAAAGACCCTAAAACTCACCTCGATCTAACTTGAACTTCAAAGAGGTCGAGTTGAGGATTCCCCTCGTGACATTGACCTTTTGTGCAGGAAGGCAGCATTGAAGCGAGAGCTCAAGTCTCACCTTGGGTCAGCCCAGGAGGCTCTATTTTCGATTTGAGCCCTGTGAATTAACTAATCAAAATGACATTTTTTTGTTTAAATTAAAGGAAGATGGATCATAGATGACTTCTAAACTTCTCGGAAGAAAAACATTTTGATCTACCATATGGTAAAAATAAAAATTCCAATTGCCTAAATGAATCAGAAGAACATTACTCTAGGAAAAGAGCATTGATCTGTCAATCTTTAGGGGGTAAAACAAGTGGAGGGGATTGGAGGTGATAGAGTTCATAGAGGAGGAAAAGAACATGGATGGTGGAGCATATTCTCCAGTTAGACTTTGAGCTGGGAAGCACATTGCTTGATAGTTGTACTTCAGAATCTAACACAGTGAAAACTGTGTTGGTTCTTTATCTTTACAAACCGACAATTTTCGCAAACTCATTATGTAAAGTGAGGATGCAAGATCTCAAAAGGACCAATAATGAACATGTAGTGAGAGAGTGAGAGATGGAAACAAATAGAACCACACAACAAATCAAGATCATAGGAGAACAACAAGAGCTTTTTTCACATGATCCACCTGCAGCTTCCTTTCCCCACTGTCTATTGTTCAGGAAAAATCCTACTTTTCAGAACAGAGTTTAACAGATTTCAAGATGTTCAACATCATTCATGTATGACAATCTACATGTATATGATGATCATACCCCTCCCAAATACTCTATTTTTGTCATTTGAGAAAACAGTTCAAGCTCAAAGGAGAAAACAAGAATTCTTTCAGATGGTCCAAGTCCTATAATTCAGAGCAAAGTCTAAAAGGTTTCAAGATGTTCAATATCATTCATGATGCAGAAAGAGAAGCAACGAGAGATTCCTTCATAAAAACCCTGATACAATCTACATGGGTATGAGCGTACCTCCCACTCCAAGATTTGGACTTCACTCTTGCATATACGACTTGTCATTTTAGAAAACATGAGTTCTTTTGCATGATCCAATCTCTAGAACAAAGTCAAGTACTTCCAACATGTTCAACATCATTCATGATGCAGAAAGAGAAGCCTGGAAAGATTCTCTAGCTGTAACTCTGACGCAATCCACATGTATATAAGCATACTCCTCCGATAATGGTGCTTATCATGCGAGAAAATTAAGTCAAAAAAGGAGAAAACAAGACCTCTTTTACATGATCCATTTATTGTTCTTCGGAAAAATCTCACATTTCATAACAAATTCTAAGAACTTCCAAGACATTATGATGCAAAAAGAGAAGCCTAACTAGTCGGAGTTTGTAGATGATGCTCACGACGCGAGGGATTTAACTTGGCTAAGCATCTGACCCCCTCGAAGATCCAATCCTCAATAGTGACGTAGATGGATCGATGATCAATTTAGATACTAATACGTCTTCTTGGTATAAACCCTGGTATTAGCATGCGGTGTTCATGGAGTTGAGACATCCGCAAGCAAAACTATCATGCATCCTGGAACTGTAGAACATGAGTTGTGCAATGAATGAACGGTCCCGGTGGCAGAGGTTTCACAAGAAAGACCACGGACCCAATCAGCGTGCAGCTGTTGGGTGTTGTTTTGTGGAGGAGATGCATCCCATTAGCATCGTCTACAAGTTCGTTAGCAGCAGGGCAGGGAACAAACAGCGATGCTCGGGGCCGTACCCGACGGCCTGAGCTGTGCTGGTTGGACGCATTCCGACCGAGTCTCATCATGCCTCTGTCCTCTCCATCATTTCGCTCCTCTTCTCCTCCACGTATTGCATCAGTGTCCCCCACACAGATGCCAGCCCTTCTGTGCCATCTAATTCCCACATAAACCTCTATCTTTTAGAGGAGCTGCAGGGGTTTTGTTTATACGTCAGCTTCAATCATGTCCTTGTCAAGAACATGTAGAGGAGGGAGGAAGGAGTATGGCGAGGGTTGCTGATATTTTTCCTCCTTTGCATGCTTTTTGTTGACTTCTGCATGAACAGATGGGTGCAGATGTTTGAAATGTCTCACAATCTAAAGAGTAGGCTTGATCCGCGACTTAAAATATATTAATCTTGAATAATAATTTGACTTGGACTCATCTGATCTAAAATTTCAATGTGGGATTAGGATCAACTTTCATTAAGTAATGAATCAAAGATTGAAATGAAAATAAATTAGACTATAATATAATCTACCTTTACAAAGAAAGAGGAGACCATCACACCACATGTTAGCAGTAAGAACTGCTGAAAGATAACTATTCATGTGTTTCAGAGTTCCCACAAGAGCATTTGATATGTTTGATGGTGTTTGATGTGCCCAGAAAACATATCATATTTTGTTATTTATATTTTGCATTCAGAATCTTTTAGTTTCATACCCTTTTTTCCATCATAAAATAAAATGCCTTTCGATCTGCACATTCATCCAAAGCAGTGATTGTTCATTTGAAGCTCTTTCTATTTCATGACAGATCCTCATTGCCGAGTACAATGAGATCTGTAAATAAGGAATTTGGAATTAACAATAGAAATATCAGGTTTTGTATTGCAGATTGTTCAGAATAGACAGCCGTCAATTGGCCTTTATACAGACACAAATATTTGCATCACCATCTCCAGGATGCAGCCTGAAGCTTCAGTGACTGCCACCCTCTTCAGGCTGACAAGCATGCTCAAAAACACATGCATGACACTCACGATCACACAGCTCAAGGAACAAAACCTCCACACAGGAACAAAAAGAAGAGATGAGGTTGAGGCAGCAGTTTGACCAGCAACATGAGATCTGGACCTTCTCTCTCTCTTTCTCTCTCTCCAGTTACCTTCTTCCCTCCTTGAATTCCAACCCCCATCATTTTACAGTGGCCATGAAAGAAACCAAGTACTCCTCACAGTCCTCACAAACCAATACATCAACAATGGCAGCAGACCCCCCTCCCTTGGGACTCTGCAACTCTAATGCCATCATGGCTTACTCAATAGCAAAAAGGAAAGGAAAAAAAACATTATCCAGAGTGCCTAACTCACTAGACATACACACACAATATACTAATCTGCACATTTTGTGGAATCAAACCAACCTCTTGTTTATGATGTGAGAAATCTGCAAAGCCAACAAGTGTCATGCCCACTCCTCTTCTTATTCCCCAAGGCCCATCCTTTTTATTTGTAGCAAGGTCTCTTTTCATCAGCCACTCAATTGCAGTTGCTGTTGAGCTTCCTCCTTTTGGTGGGTGGAGCTGAGGAGGAAGATGAGATGCCTGACTCCCTTTTAACTGGACTGGTCACTCTGTGCTGCGACAGGATCATTGGAGACTTCCTCAGCCTTTGATCCACAGCAACCTGTCGCATCAGTCGACAGCAATTGCCAATTCCCTCCTGCAACAACAGCATATGATGATGATGATGATGATGGTGATACTAAGAACAAAAACAACAGATAAATATGTCTTCATGAGTTACCTCAGTTAGCCCAACACACCATGATGCTGCGGTTGCAGGATTAACAAAGGTCCGATCCTGTGTTTCATCAGCTGCACAGATCATGGCAGCTGCAGCAAGTGCTGGTGGGCAGTGACTTAGGAAGTCAACCTCTGTTGCAGCACATGATTCAGATTCAAGCACCGCAGATCTCTAACATTGAGATATAATACCCACGACAAGAACTGAAGATTACCGTGCATTGCTGCTAATATGACTTGTGTGGCCTGCAAAACCAGCAACCTGGCTGTTCTACCGCATGGATCGATCTTGTGGGCAAAGAAATCAACAAAACTGAGAGGCGTCACAGATCGAAGCCTCCAATCCAGTGCGGCGAGCACAAGAAGCTCCATGCGAAGCACTGTGTGAGGATCGAAGATGAACTTGGCATCCTCAACCTAACCAATCAACTCAGGCCTTAATGCATGCATGTTTGGTGGAACAGTAGTCACTAGTTTCTTCAGCTCGGTTACCTGCAGGTCCAACAGGGATGGCACCACTGTCTCCTCCATCTTTGCAGCCAGTGAGAGGCAGGCCACTGACAGAAGCTGCAGTGCCCATCCATTTTGCTGCATTGGTAGAACCAGCATGAGATTACCCATAAATCCTAACATGTAACAAGCAATGCGAGGCCACACACAAGTCATCATCTTCTCAAGACTGCACGCAGCAAATTCCATCCATCGCTTCACTGAGCATTGCATTTAACATTCTGATGCAATGTCATGATATTAGAAGGAGGTCAAAGTTTGGACGATAGCATCCATTTGTACAAAGAACTCAGCATTAAGGTTTGCTGGTTTCTTGAGCAAGGGGATTTCTGTGCTAATAGCTACAAGCCGAGGGATCTTAGTGTAAAATACGAGTATTACTATGCTAACCGAGAAGAGACAGCGGCCCGTCCGATCAGAATCAGACGGAGAAGAGCTCAGACAAGGGACATCGGTCGATTACCGGTAAGCGGTGAGAAGAGAGGAAGCGATCCACGTAGTTGACGGCGAGGCACGCCGTCAGCGGACGGAAACGGTGGTAAGCGCGAACCTACGAAAAGCAACCAAACGTCCGTTAAGATGGGGGGAAGGGAAGGGGAAGACCGGCGCAGGTTAGCAGAAGTGTATGAGACAATTCTAGAGTGCGCCGGGGGAGTTGACCTTGAGGATCCACGCGACGGCGTCACGGCGGGCGACGGGGTCGAGCGAGTCGGGCCCGGCCGAGCGGGCGGCCGCCCCCTCGCCTCCTACGAAGCCGGCGATCGGCTGGCCGTCGCCGAACGGGGCGAGCTCTCCGGCGTCCTCGCCGCAGAGGAGGTCGAAGCAGGAGGAGGCGGAGGAGTCGGAGGGGGAGGGGGAGGGGGAGGGCGGCATGACAGCGGGAGAAGGCACCCGGTCCTCATTGTCTTCCCATCACCGCGGAGCACCAGAACCCGGTAGAGAGGAAGGAAAGAGTGAAGAGAGACAGTGTGGGTACTGTCGAGGTGGTGGCGAGGAGTAGTATATGGACTGGGAGCTGAGAGCGAGGGATACTACCGCTACGTTTCAGTGTAATTATATAGAGAGAAGGGGTTTGTGTGTTTGTGCTTGCTTTTCTTGTAGCTCCCTTTTGATCTTCCCTCCTTGTCAGCTCTCAGTCTTTTTCCTTGTAGTTTACCATGATCCGGTCTAAATCTTTTGCTTGCAGGAGGCAGAATGTGTGTGTTTGTATTATCTTGTCTGTAGTGCCCCTTTCATTTACTTGGGTGTCAGCTAGCTCGGTGGTTCTACTCTTCTTCTTTCCTTTTTCCGTGTGTGTTCCTACTCTTCTTCTTGCCTTGTGAGAGACTCCACCGTGCTGCCGTTTGCATGGGAATAGAAGCAGTCACAGGTCAGGTTAATAGTTTGACGGTCCGAACCGAACCAAAATGACGGTATGGTTTTAATTTCTAAATTTTATAATTTTAAATTAATTAATTAATTTAAAAAAAATAATAAAATTAAAAATTAAAATAGACAAAGAAACAGATTTTAAAAGAAAATAAATGAATTAGAGATTCAGGGGAATATTGTGCTCAGAAAACATCATCCATTCAGTGGTATTTTTTTGACCTGATGTGGGCAAAAATAAGACAATGTTGTCATTGAGGATTTATGCCAACTTCATCCATGGATGGATGAGGTACTTCTGTTGTAGCAAGGAATAGCATAGTGAGAAATATACAGAGCATATCTTGTCTTATTAAATATTTGGTCTTTTATTCTTTCTTTGACTTGAGCTTTGAGAAGGGACACAGTAAATTTCTTCCTTGTGTGAAAACTTTTGGGACTAATTCCAACATCTTTCATGAAATAGATTCATACTATATGAACTCAACTAGACCTGTATAGTTTGTATCTGAACTTATTGACTCAAGTGTCAAAGGAAGGTAGTGAATCTCTTCTTTATGTAGAAACTTTTGGGACTAATCATAAAATATTTCATGAAAATGATTCGGAGTATATGAACCAATTAAAACTTGTATATCTTATCTTTTAATATTTGACTTGAGCACAGAAAAAACATGATGAATTTTTTTTTTATTATGAATTAGATTCATAATAAACTTTCTCGTATGAAAGGTCTCATCGTCGTCTAATATCTAACTCAAGCATGCGAGGAAAAGTATAAATTTATTAAAACTTCATAAAATAGATTTATATTGTTTATGAAAGAAAACCTATGGAGATGTTGCATGCAATACATCCATACTATATGAATCCAAACAAACATTTTTTTTCCTTTATAATTTTATTTTAATTTTGAAAAATTCTATTGGTGCATCTCAGTCTTTCTCATTATCCCACCCATGGAATGGTAGCCAACCTCTGTGCTGGTGCTCAGTTGACCTTAAAAAAAATCATGTACAGGTGCATGACAATTTCTTTTCACTTGGAGATGGAGTGGTGCACTTGTGAGGTTATTCTGAACACTCATGTCAACTTTTTCTTTCTTTCTTTTCTTTCTCCTGGGTTGGGAGGCCTCTGATTCACTGTTCCATGGAGATCTCAATAGTCCCCTCAACTACACAACACTCCACTCAGTTGCTGAACTTTAGGAAATGTTGATCTGCTTTCATTTGTTTTCCAGCCAGAAAACTGTTGCACTCCATCAGTAAAATCATTAGGATTGAAGGAGAAAGTCTATTATGTGATGGCTCACTGTGTTCATTCTCTGATACTACAGACAGGTACAGGATACATATTCAAGGATGAAAAAGGTCAGACAGTGATGGCCAGAGCTATTTCTTGTAGAGAGCTGGGGAGGTCAATCAGACAGAGTAGAGTCTCTTTCTCTAAGAGTACATGTAATTAACTTTCACTATATGTCTGGACAAATATTCTGGCTCATGGTTTGACTAACTACAATAGGAGGTTTCAGGAAATCTCCATTTGAGGAGTTGAAGCTCACAATTTGTAGTGTAAGTGACTAAAAAAGAAAGCCTTAGACACAAGTTCATAAAAATGCAAACTTTCATTCTTTCTTGTCAATTATCAAGAACAATCTTTGAGCAGAAACAATATCAAAGCAAGCCAAAGAAACTAGTAATGTCTCTGAACTAAATAAATAATTGGGCCCAATCTTGTTTGTTTACTCTATGCGTTTGCTCAATTCAACCATCAAGTGGAACCTAACATCTTGTTGGCTCCTCTTTACTGCTAGCAGAAGTTTCAGGCTAAGTGGCTGATATGAAGCATGATAATACAGTTCCATAGCCAGGACAATAATTGGCATCCATCCAAAACACAAGTAGGAAACGAAGGTTGGTCATGTGTGAGCTCCATCAAATCTGATCTGCGTCAAACAGCGCAGATTCCACCAGCAAAATGTGACCCACATACAAGCAGACATCACTGAATAGCATTAACATCAAGAAAATCACCTCAAACCATCCTAATTTAATTCTCAGGGATAATATTTGTTACGATCCATTTACTCATTAATTTTGTTGATCTTGAATCATTGGTTTCGTGTATAAAATATTGCCCATAGTCTTTTTTTTCTATTCGGACCCGTCGATATCATTCGTCACGAAGATCTATTAACTTTATTGTGCCTAAATTATTGATTCAAAATGTTTAAGTACATATTAACAGTAATATACTTATTAAATTCTTATAAATTAATGTAAAGCTTTACTTATATTTTTATGGCACAGTAATACCATCAAATTATTCCACGAAAGTAAAAGAAAATGATCTGACTGCTACTCATATCACTAATGGTGATGCAACATGGATCTTGACTGGTTATGCTAACAAGCACTGCTCTGACACACTTGTCCATCATGATGATCAGTATCTGCCTGGAACAATCTGGCTAAATGGCCACAGAAACAGGATCAACAGCACAATGAGCTCATCCTGGAAGAAGCTTGGTACAGCCTCATCACATTTCCCCATCAGACTAGGCTCCACCAATGACTAGTTGTTTCGATTTTATCTTGGGTACTGGAAGCCTACATATGGTAGGAATAGTGATCTAAACATTGCGTCCTGTTGCCAATTACCACCATTTGTACACCATATCTCTTTTACTGTGTGAAGCCATACTTCACTCCATTATCCATCTGTTCTTTGTACTTTAGTTGCAGGGCTTGTGATAACTTTCTCTTTGATCCATTTACCACACTGGTGAGAGGAATGTACTGCTAGCAGAAGCATGATATGTGTACAATTTGATGCCTCATCAAGCTGACAAATTGTGTCTCTTCTGGGTCTCTTGGTGAATCCTCCAAAAGGGAGTTTGGATTGTATTAGAGATGCTCATCTCAGTTTTTTTCTCTTAATTCGTTCACAAAGAACATTTCGATAAACAACAACTGGCCATGGATCTGATAGATTAATTGGGTTCTGCCAAACTGCCAAGGTTTGTCCTCAAGTTATGGTGCAGATACCCAATCAACCAATAAAATGCATCATGAGGTGCTCTGCTGCATGACTGTCCTGATGAAATGGATTTGAAGGCAGATGTCATGGTCTCATTAGGAATTAGAAAATAGAAGAATCAAAGGATCATGAAGTGCTTTCGAGACCTATTACTAAATTTATCAGATTTCTTAAAGATAGATTGAAATGCAAATCAACCAGTTGCATACAGACAGCATAGCTTGAAGAGGGTTGATTGCATCAACTTCTGAAGAAGAGCAATATTAAGCTGTAATGCATCTCAACTAACACCACTTGGTATGGATTCCACAGGATTTTGTAGCTGTGGAAGTCTGCAGTGGGATCAAACGACAAGTGGATCTTTTGCTCTCTGTTGCCATTGCCATTGGTGAAGAGGTTTGTCTGCAAAGTTATGGGCTTCCCTCTCACATCACCCAGGAACTCAAAGCCCAGCACATCATGATGATTTCTGTGAGATGTTAGCTGCCAAACATAAAGCCAAGCCATTTATTGAAATGAGACCTCTCTTTTCTTCTCATGATATGAACCACATGGAGCATAGTTTTCATCTATCATAGACCATCATTAACTTGATTTTAAGCATGAAAATCAACATTTATCATAGGAATGCAAAGTTGCTCACTGTAGTTTGTAGTTATGAGTCTCACATCTCCTTCACTATACATATATTTTTGCTGAAACCTTCAAGAACAGCTTACATAAAATGCTGTCACCACCCCAGCTGTATCCTTATTACATAATATTACCATCATTTCAAAGAAGCCAGAGTTGTATCTCATCTTTGAACCAACTGCAGCACCCTACATGGAAATGTATTAAATCAATCAATCTGCAACTTATTTTGGTCAATTAGTTTTACAAACACAGACAGCTTAGAATACATGGCATGTAAACTGCTTCACTGCAAATACTGCAAGCAATGCAATTGCAGAGAATTGTTGACTCTGGGAATTGAACTATACAGCCTCAGAAAAGAAAGTTGAGCGCAAATTTGTCATACATTTGATCAAGAATTAATCAGTTGAAATATCATGTGGTACTTTTGCACATGATTATGGCTGAAGTAATGGATTTTTCATTCGGAAAACAAATCGAACATCTGGATTTTGAAGCTGTGCTTATTCATTTGGATCCTTAGATCCTCAAATGAAGGTATCTTTCTCATCCACAATCGTGGGCTTTAAGTTTAATGACTGAATTCATAAGATGTGAATAGTTTGTGAGCTTCAGTGAATCAGATTTGTCACAACATGCAAATAGTATATGAGTCAATGCTAATGTATCTAGTTAGGAGCTTATATTTTAATTTTGGTACTTACTCTACTACCTACAAACCACTGATTTATGAGACATAATATCAAATCTATGACCAAGAGAACAACATAATTTGTAATTTTCAGTGCAAGTAAAAGATGAAAATATTGGACACCAGAAGATTTGTCCATGGAGAGATGGACTTGCCTTGATGCACAAAGGCAACATGATTTCCTCCCCAAGTGATGGCAATTTTTTGATCAAATGGTTGGACACACAATATCCTCAGCCACACACCACCACCTGCACATACTACCAACACAAAGAGATGAACACAAGGAATAGAAGCCACACCTGTAACAGTG